CCGCGTGTTCCGCCGCTTTGCTTCCTCTCCCTGGTCTGCTGGAGACCAGGGAGAGGAAGGGCCCCGTTCGTAACTGCGGATCCGATGTAAGTCGGATCCGCGTAACTCGGGGACTGCCTGTACATACTTCTCTACCCTTGAGATGCTTCTAATAGGCATGATAATTAAAGAATGACAACCCCTGTGGCTTTAAAAAAAAAAGTTTACAAGAGAGTCACTGTTTTTCAAATATGGATCATTCAACTCAGCTCTGAAATCACTGGATCTAGTAGGAATGTTTGAGATATTGACAAATATTTTCAGACTGCTCAGAAGAAACATTATCAGATAACTTTACAGGAACTCTTCAGGCAAGTCTATTGCTATTCTATCTGTGCTTATAATTTTTCTTTTAAAAAAAAGCAAATCACTAAAGCAAAGGTGTTCAGAGCACAGACTGCCTTAGTATCCAGTATTGGACTCCAGCTGTTTCATAACATTCAAGCTATTGAAGAAGTTGTCTGTCTCTGCAGTTTCAGTATTACAATTAACTTAAAATACTGTATTAGACCACAAGAATGTCTGTTACATAAGCTACCAGCATCTTTTCTCATGATCAAAATGTATAGTTACTCAAACTCCTAGCAGGATGTTTGAGAGGGGAAAATTATGGTAAAACATGAAAATAAGGACCTTGCTTTTTCACACTCCACCCTTACAACCTACCACTCAAATGGGCAGCAGAAATTGAAGCCTATAAGCCATTAATTCCCTTACATGCCATATGACAGCAAGCTTCAGATCATGTTATAGAGGTTATAATGTTTATTATACCCATGCTTTAAACCATTTTTAAATGGATAACATTACCATCAGTCCTGACTTTATTAAGGTTGCCAACTTTAAATTTTTTATTCTTGCTGGCAGAAAACCTTTTTTTAGCATGACTGTTCTTCGGGAACTAGACTAGTGCGATGTAGTGAACATTCATCACAGGAAGCAGCTGTTGTCCATAAGGGATCTGATTTTTTAACATATAAACATATTGTCCATTTAAAACAAAAGACAGCTACAATTCCCGTAATACACCGGCCTCCAGCTCTGGAAAGCTAAAGATCTTCCACCCATATTCCTTCTTATAAATAAGGCCTTACTCACAAGGTTCTCTCTGGGAGCTTGTCCTTTAAAACTAGAGAGACAACCAGAGGTAGACCTAAAGCAACCATTTTGAACAGCAAGCAAGCTGACTGCTGTAGGTTGCAACTCACTTCCTTCCAGGTAGCATTTAGCTTCATTTAGGTATTCTCTCACTCCTAAGGTGGTCACATAGCCTACCCATACAAATTAGGCATACACATTTTATGGATGATCCAACCCATCTTTGCCAGTGAGTGCAATACATCAAAAATTGTATTCAAAATAAACTGGAAGTTCTTGTCATAGATTAGAAGATTAAATATAACCAAAGTTATCTGAGAAAGACCTACATCAGCTATTTCAGAAAATGTGTGGACAGAACAACACTGTAATAAGGTAACATATTAATACTGAAAGGCCATGCTGCTGATATTGTAATCTCTATTTTACATAATTCCCAATGTAAGAGAGATTCCCTGTGTTGTCAGGACTGTATGGGGATGCTGCTCCTATTTAAGTTCTATTTGCTCAGACCAGATCTATGCTATACCTGGAAGGTCAGGTTAAGGTATGCAACTCCAGCTATGTAAAATACGTAGCTGAAGTTGGCTTAACTTAAGCAGAGCTCAAGCACAGAGGGAGGTCAATGGGAGCAAATGCTCCCATCGGCTTCCCTTACTCCTTGTGACTGTCAGGAGTACTGGTGCCCACCGGAGCCGCCCTCAGCATTCGATTTAGCAGGTCTTAGCTAAGAAGATCCATCTATGACACGGCAAGGGAAGAAACCACTGAACTGAGGACTGCTCAATATGGCTTTCAGCAACACTAAACATGTTCGAAATCAAAGCCAAAATATTCAGTTCAAGAGATGATCTGTCCAGTTTTCAGAACATTTCAGTAAAGGAGAAAGCCAGCAGTGTTACTTGTATCTCCATAACTCCAGAAAGCCAAACCACCTACCCTGCCTAAACATACCACTTATTGGAGACTGAGAGGATGCAGATGTGTTAGTTCTTATGTTACTGCAGGAAATACTGATGGTAATCTTAACAATTAGCATTTGCAACCTGAAGCATGCAACTTTATCACTATCTCAGAGAACATTGTTAAGCTTTTAGGGTCATAGACGTACCTTTTGTCTCTTCAGAATATCGATTAACTTTAACTGTTTCTTGAAACCTGTCATTAGCTCTTCTTTTTGTTTCTCCAGTCTCTTGTTTTCTATTTTTAATTCTTCAAGTTTTTTGTGCTCATGGTTGGCTATATCCTAAAAGAGGACAAAAACAACGTCATATCTGTAGAAGTGGCACAATAGAAAACATACCAGCAATTTGTGATATTTCAGAAGGAGAGATTTGTACCCTTGACAACCAAAGAAACCCCCACACCTAGCTGATCTCTCTTTTATGCTACTAAGGCAATAGGATTTATACTGGTACCATGCAGAGAGAGTGTGTTCTTTCAAGTTGTCACAGATCTGTTTGGATGCCCCTTTTCAGTCACCCACTAATCTGCTGTGAAGGGAATTCAAGCCTCTGGGTCCCTGGATCCCCTGATTTAAGCCTCCATTGCCTGAATGGAGTCCAGCCACTTTTCCCATCTTGAGATCTATAATCACATTTGCAGTACAGAGCTATCTAGTACCCCCTTCTGAGAGAAAGAACCCACTCTCCAGCTGCCTAGCACATGGGTTCTAAGATGACCCTTGGCACTTGTTCATACTTGGCAATACACCTCTCCCAGAACATCCTGTAAAGCTTCTGGTTTACAGTTTAACGCTCTCAAGGCTTACCATAGTAGTGAAGCAAACAACAAAGATGATGCTTTTCACAAATCTAACAAATTATTCCTCTAACTCAATTATATAAAGAACATATATACAGGCAGTCCCCGGGTTACGTACAAGATAGGGACTGTAGGTTTGTTCTTAAGTTGAATTTGTATGTAAGTCGGAACTGGTACATATTGTAGGGGAAACTCTAGCCAAACATTTCTCCAGAGCTCAGTTTTATTCTCCCACACCTCACTTCCCTCAGTCCTTTATTCTCAAGCTGAGGTGTCTGCTGAGAAAAGCCGCTCCGCGTCTTCCTGGTCTGCTGTGGGGGGGCGCTAGCTTCGCGTCTCCCTGGTCTGCTGGGGGGAAGCAGCTAGTGCGGGGTTGCCTCACCCCGTTTGTAAGTAGGGATCCGATGTAAGTCGGATCCATGTAACCCGGGGACTGCCTGTATATGTAAACGCTATACACATTTTTTTCTTCACTACATTACTCCTCCCTAAGGAGTCGGGGTGGGGGAAATCTGTAGAGCTTTGCGTGTATACATCTGCATCTGCAAAAATGATCTGTGGATACCTACATTCACATCCATGGATGTGGATACCTGTGGTAATAAAGCGGATATTTGTGGATTTGCATCTGTGCCCCAGGAAGCTTGGTTTCCCCTGCCTCATGCTGGGTGGCTTCTTGATTATGTCATGGTATCTCTAACACCCTAGCTTGAATTATGTTTTTTCCTCTTTCCTAGCATTTCCTCTTCCAATTTTTTATTTTCCTCCCCCTTCCAGTACCTGCCTTCCTTTGTTTCATTTCTTGGTAACTTTCCACTACCCCAAAATAACCATCCATCAGACAGAGGACAAAGTATCTTTCCTTGGGATGCAGTTACTCTCTTAACTGGTGTGTGGTCAAGGCATTGTTTATCTTTAAATACCTTTCCTCACTCTAGAGTATACTTTGTGCCTGTCCTATCAGTAATGCTGAATACACACAAAAGGCATTCATGATAGAGTTGCTTTTCATAGTAACTTTTCATAATTCCATAGTATCAACCAGAATGTGCATGTTAAACAGATGGATTCCCATATAGTTAAACCTATCTTCCTATCACATACTGACTTTGGAGTCCAGTGCAGTAGAGAAACACTTCTTAGTGATAAGTATAGTATTTGTCCCCCCTCCATTTCTAATCACATACCAGACTCAAGAAGACAGGAAAACGAAAAACACCAACATTAAACTTTACATAACTAATATAATACAGCATTCTTCAGCACTGGTTGTAATATTCTCTAAAACAACTCGAACCCTTGTTCATCTATTCAATTGATTAGTTAAGGTATTCTAATTGCCTGAATAAATGTTTACAACGTTAGAACTATGAAATATAAAAATGCCCTCGAAACTCTTATTGCCATCCACAATTTGAGGGTGCTCTCTTATTACCAGATCAAGATCTTTGGTGGGTTTTATTAAGCATTTTTCAACAGGAGATTATACTTTTAAAGCAGTTTATTTGAAACCACAACTATACCTTATTGCTTTGCTTCAGTTTATTCAGCTCCATTTTATACCTTTCTGCTTCCTCAAGAGCCCTATTTAAGCGAACTTCTGTAGCACTCTGACTGGTAGAAGCCTGCTTTTGTATGCGCTTTAGATTCTCTAGTTCCTAAATAAAGAAAAGTATGTTGAATAATGATACATCAATGAATCCTCCTATAAGCAACATATTTAAAACAAGGGACATGCCGGAAACCATGTATGATCTTGTTTGGCCCTGCAGTCGAATCTGACTTCACATATCCTACTTTTATAGTTCTAACTTTTCCTTTACATCCTCTCCTTCTCCCTTTAGAAATACTTCTATTTGAATACTAACACAGGGATCAACAAAACCAAAAGACTGCTGCGCTATGTGCTGGTGATACAGATTCAATCCTGCAACACTTAAAACCTTGGGACAACTTGGGGTGCTGTCTAGTCCAGAAAACAGATGTAGAACTGCTTCTCCCTTCTACTATTTGTTAGTGCTGAGAGTCAGGAAAAGATGAGGGGATGATGCAATGGTGGAGATACGTAGAGTACTGAGATAAAGATCAATGGAGACACTAGAGCAGGGATCAGCAACCATTCCCAAGTGGCATGCCAAGATTTAACTCTCCTTAGATGGTAGAGGGACTCGCTGTTAATTACATAATTACACACGAGCCATTTTGCTAGTTCTGCAGCGGGGGAGAATGGTTTAATTTAAATTATTAAACAAATTAAGCATTTTAACTTTCTCATGTTAGTTAATCAAACTTCATTTTAAATAAAGTAAAATATTATGTCCAACACGAAAGGTTCCCATGTTTTCTTTATTTATGGCAGAGGTGGGGAACCATTTTTGGGTTGGGGTCACACACCCACAGAAAAATCAGTTGGGGACCACACAAGTCAGAAGCAAAAAAACTCCTCCAAAACCCCCCAACCATCATTGATGTGACCCCCCAACTGAGAAACCTCACTCTGCTGGCACTCCAGCCCCCATGGAGTGAGGGGAAGGGACAGGGAGGACTGAGGTTCAGGGCTTTCCATAGCTAGGGTTGGCTCCAGCCTGGCTGGGCACAGAGGGGCACTGAGGAAGGGGCTCCCCAGTCCTACATACTGCTCATGCCTGGCGCAGCACATGTGCTAGCCACCCAGCCCCAGCTCTCCAGAGCAGGTCCAGCCCCACCCCGTCCTGAAGCAAGGAGCCTATAGCTAGGAAGGGGAGAGCGGGAGTTAAACCCTTAATTCCCAGGAGCTGCATGCCCAGGCTGCATGCCCCCT